CCAGTGGTGGAGCCGCTCAAGTGCGCGCCCAAGACCTTCTGGGTGAACGAGGGCAAGCACGCCAAGTTCCGCTGCTACGTGATGGGCAAGCCCGAGCCCGAGATCGAATGGCTCTGGGATCGTGCTCAAGGTGCTGTACTGCCAGGCCCGGGACCGCGGGCTCTACGTGTGCGCCGCGCGCAATTCGGCTGGCCAGACGCTCAGCGCCGTGCAGCTGCACGTCAAAGGTGTGGCGGCGCCCCCTCCCAGGTCCCCCTAACTCCAGCCCTCTCGGTGCCCTGTGCTGCTCGGGCGAAGGTGGGGGGACTGGGAGACAGGAGGCGGGGTATTAAAAGCCCATTTTCTTCCCGCTTCCCACCCCCAGGGATTCGGATTTAATAGGTCTCCAAGGTATCCAGGACCAGATTAGCAAACTCCCCAGGTGATTCTGAGGCATGAAGTGGAAAACCTCCCTTTGACTTATTAACTGAGAGAGGCCTAGCACTCTTCTAGTCCAGTGGTTTTTTCAGCCTGTTATTTTACTTCCCCTCCCCCAATGGAAATCCCATCTAGGGCCCCAATCTATACTAATAAAAGGGTAACATGCTAATTAGACCGACATCTTCTGAACAAAGCCTCAGTGGCAGGCGGAGGCAGAGGCGGTTAGGGGCCAGCAGTTGCAGATTGCGAGGGATGTCCAACTGCCTCTTTAGGCCCGATCCCACAGGGCCCTAGAGCGGCAGTCGGACATCCCCCGAGGGGTCCCAGATTGGAGAGGGTGCAGGCCCGGCTGAGGGACACACCCCCTACCTCCCCCCCTGCACAAATTTCGTGCACCGGGCCTCTAGTATATTATAAGAGAAAAGGATCATTTTCTGGCTGTAAGTTTCTAAGTCCAGATTTATAACATACTTATAGAGCCAATCAGTGAGCACAGGGGCTATTTTATTGAATACACACATTTAAAGTGGAGGTTGTACTCATTACTGGGTCTGGTCTGTGAGCCTTGTGGGGAAGGCCTAGCTGCAGGCCTCACATTGAGCAACTCCTGATTCAGACCAAAGGTAAACTTGAGGGAGAAAAACTGCCCTGCAAATTTTAGCCATTCTTTCTTTAGACTTCTCTCCCTGGGTTTGCAAGAGGAAGGTGAAGGAGAAGAAATTTATATTTCAAAGTTGAGTCACCAACATCTAATAAATACTCATAAATAGAAAACGAGGTTGGGGGAAGCACCCCAAGCTCACACTGGAAGTTAAAGCTCTCCATAATAGGAATCCATCACAACCTGCAGGATTATACCTCTACTAGTTATTGTCCAACTTTTTTCCTCCGAGGAAAAAAACTTGGCAAATCTCCTGAGCCCAGCCTGGCACACATTCAAGCATGTGGCACCTGTGCCACAGGGGTGACCTCTCGGGCAGGCGGCCACACACTGGCCAGGGGAGCTGAACTCTAGCAGGACAAAAAAGCCCAGCAGGCAGGCAGAGCGTCGCACTGCTCCAGCAGCAGGTGAACCCACAGGGTTGTTTCCAGCATCATGCTTTCCTTTTGCAAAATGCAGTTTTGAAAATGCTTAAAGTACCTTAAAAAGAAAATTCAACTGGGAATTTGTATGGTGCCTTTAAAGGGCCCCAGGGAACAGTTTGAAAATCACTGATGTGGTCCAAGCCCTTCCATCCCTTTTCCCACTTATAGGTAAAACACCTGAGGCCCAAGGTCACTAAAATGGGCTTGCTCGAGGTGATGTGGCTAGTGTCAGGGTGAGACAAGCATTTAGGCCTCTGACTTCCCCTCTGGAGGTTTTTCTGTGCTTCCACAATGCCTGCTGGCTCTGGGAAAAAAGCAAATGTCGTGAGCTAATGTGGGTTTAGGCCGTTGATGCCAAGAGGAATCCCTCCCTAGAGCCTTCTCTGGTCTCTCTCCTCTCCACAGAGCCCCGACTCCGCTTCTCCAGGCCCTTACAGGATGTGGAGGGCCGGGAGCATGGGATTGCCGTGCTCGAGTGCAAAGTACCCAACTCCCGCATTCCCACGGCCTGGTTCCGCGAGGACCAGCGGCTGCTGCCCTGCCGGAAATACGAACAGATTGAGGAGGGCACCGTCAGGCGCCTCATCATCCACAGGCTGAAGGCGGATGACGACGGGGTCTACCTGTGCGAAATGCGCGGCCGGGTGCGCACCGTGGCCAACGTGACGGTCAAAGGTCGGCTGGCCAGCGGGAGGAGGCCGAGGCTGAGACAGACAGGTGCCCTGACCCCTGACCCCGGGCTAATGGACTCCCATCTGCCTCTCAGGGCCTATCCTGAAGCGGCTGCCCCGGAAGCTCGACGTTCTGGAAGGCGAGAACGCCGTGCTGCTGGTGGAGACGCGAGAGGCTGGGGTCGAGGGGCGCTGGAGCCGCGATGGGGAGGACCTGCCGACCACCTGCCAGAGCAGCTCCGGCCACATGCATGCCCTGGTCCTTCCGGGGGTCACTCGAGAAGATGCTGGCGAAGTCACCTTTAGCCTGGGCAACTCCCGGACCACCACTCTTCTGAGAGTCAAATGTGAGGGCGTGAAAGCCCTTGGTCAGACTCCTCAAGGGCTGGACAGGAGAGCCAGGGCAGGAGGGTGACCGGGTTGGGAAGTGGACCTAAGGAGGAAGGGTGATGGGAGGCTGGGGCAGGGCTCCCATACAAACCCTGCCTTTGTCTCAGGCGTCAAGCACAGTCCCCCGGGACCCCCGGTGCTTGCAGAGATGTTCAAGGGCCGCAAGAACGTGGTCTTGCTGACCTGGAAGCCTCCCGAGCCAGCTCCCGAGACCCCCTTCATCTACCGGCTGGAGCGGCAGAAGGTGGGCTCGGAAGACTGGGTCCAGTGCTTCAGCGTTGAGAAAGCCGGGGCCGTGGAGGTGCCGGGAGACTGTGTGCCCTCCGAGGGTGACTACCGCTTCCGCATCTGCTCGGTCAGCGAGCATGGCCGCAGTCCCCACGTTGTGTTCCACGGGTCTGCTCACCTTGGTGAGTCCGTCCTCCAGACCAGACGGGGCCTGTCAGCAGTGCTACCCCACGTTACACCCTCTCCTTCCTTCTACAGCAATCGGTCCCGTCTTCTTAAATGCCTTCCACCTGCAAGCCCTCTGTCACCCCTCTGGTTCTGATGGCTGCACTCTCTCCCCATCTCAGTACCCACAGCGCGCCTGGTGGCAGGTCTGAAGGATGTGCAGGTATACGACGGGGAAGATGCTGTTTTCTCCCTCATTCTCTCCACCATCATCCAGGGCACCTGGTTTCTTAATGGGGAAGAACTCAAGGGCACTGAGCCAGAGGGCCAAGTGGGGCCTGGAGCCCTGCGGTACTGTGTGGAGCACAATGGCCCGCAGCACCGACTCACCCTGCAAGCCGTCAAGCACCAGGATAGCGGAGCCCTGGTCGGCTTCAGCTGCCCGGGTGTGCAGGATTCGGCTGCCCTCACCATCCAAGGTTGGTGCTGGTGGGGACCCGGGTGGGCAGATAGGGCCAGGACACAATTCCTGTTGACAAAATGAAGCAGATGCTTTCCCACTTCTGACATCTGGACCAGGAGAATAAGGAGCACCCATGGTGGGCTCAGATGGAAGATTCTGGTCCAGGAGGCTGGCTTTAACTCACACGAAATGTACAAGGTCCCCCTTGTTAATTCATGAGCATCATATCCAAATTCTTTGGAGTGCTTTATGGTTTACAGAGCTCTGTCATATTTGTCATCTCAGAGCCATAGACCCTGGCCCCTAGGCCCTACCTTTCTGCCCTATTGTGTAATCGCTAACTGTCATAGCTTCTTCCTATGTGCCAGGCACAGTCCTAATCACTTTACATATATTAACACAATGCTCTCAACAGCCCTAGAAGGTAGGTTCTTCTGTCATCCCATTTTACAGATGAGGAAACTGAGGCACAGAGCGGTTAAGTGACTTGGCCAAAGAAATTCACAGATCTAATGAGTGGCAGTGCTGGATTATGAACCCAGGCATTCTGGCTCCAGAATCACTTGTGGAGACAGAGAAAAAGAGGGAATGAGGTGCCCTGAGGAAGACAGTTGATGGGGGTCTAAAAGTTCAGGGAACACACTGGCATTTGCCATCTCACCATTGCTGGAGATGTAACGCCAATCAAGGAATTCCTCAGAGCCCAAACACAGGCCTTGAGGTGGTCGGCTTCCAGCATCCCGGGAAGAGGGCAAAGTAAGATATAACTAACAGCCAGAGCAGCACTTCCAAATGTGACCCAGGATCACCAACATCAGCGTCATCTGGAGGCTGGGTTATAATGCAGATTCCCTGGCCCTTGTCCGACTGGGGAGGGGGTGTCTAAGAATCTGCATTTTAGCAGGATCCCTAGGAATCCTTACACTAAAACCACTGCTCTTAAGAACTGGTTAATAAGCCCAAACCTGTTTTTTAAGACTCAACAAATGTGTGAACAGCAGTTGTCTGGCCTGATGTTCTCAGCCTTCTACACTCAGAGGGAAGGAGTGCTTATCTCAAGCAGAGCAACAACGAGGGCCTGCACGTGACCAGGGCCTGCGTGTGACCAAGTTTCTCCTTATACAGAAAGCCCGGTGCACATCCTGAGCCCCCAGGACAAGGTGTCGTTGACCTTCACGACCTTGGAGCGGGTGGTGCTGACATGTGAGCTCTCCCGGGTGGACTTTCCGGCGAGCTGGTACAAGGATGGGCAGAAGGTGGAGGAGAGTGAGTCGCTGGTGGTGAAGACGGATGGACGCAAACATCGTCTGATCCTGCCCGCTGCTGAGGTCCGGGACAGCGGCGAGTTTGAGTGCAGAACGGAAGGGGTCTCGGCCTTCTTCAGCATCACTGTCCGAGGTCAGGAGCCATGGCAGCTGGGTTCCTCTAGCTGAGGCTGACTCTGGGGGCCATGCAAGCCCTGTCTGCTGTCTGCCTGCTTTTGGCGGGGGGCAGGGGGGAGTTTCCTTCCAGGGTGGTCCTGGTGGGCCAGGGGCCGTGTTTTCAAATCACATACACCAGCACATTTGCCCACTACATACCCTCTGTGGGGCTAGGGTGTGGGGAACTAGATTCAGCTAAGGGAAGGAGAGTGGGAGCTAACATTTATTGGACATTTACTAGTCAAGGTACATACTTTCATTTACTCTTCACAACTAGGTGAAAGGCAATACATCTCCGGTTCACAGATGAAGATATTGAAGCTCAGAGAGGTTATTTGCCAATTATCACACAGCTAGCAAACACCCCGCGGGGTTCACACACAGGACTGCTTATCCCTCTGTCCCAGGCAGCAGGGTGAAAAGGAAGTATTAAGTGCAGTGGCCCAGTGGTTCTCAGAAGCTGGTCCATCCATGTGCTGGCTGCTTCAGAACTGTCCTGGAAGCTTGTTACAGTGCCTGTTCCCAGCCCCCCAGACCACCAGAGCCAGAATACACAGGACAGAGCCCGAGGAACCACTCATCCAGCTCATCTTCACTTTAAGGGGAAATCCTGTTTCAACTCCAAGGATGTCTGAATGCACCCATGACAGGGAACTCGCTACCTATAGAGAGAAGCTGTCCCACTGTGGCCCCACTAGGTCGTTCCCACCTCCTGTGCGACCCGGGACCAGTGCCCTGAGGCTTCTTTGTCAAAGCAGCAGCAATACAGCCTGTGATAGTGGCCTCCTCTCAGCCTAGACAAAGGCTCTCCATGCCACCTCCCTCCATGTCCCCACCCAGTGGTGACTTCTGGGCACTCACATAGCATCCTGGTGTCACATGATCTGTCATGCCTCATGTCATTACCCCAGAACCCCCTGCACAGCATGGCCTTAACCTTCCCAGTGTCCTCCAGAGAGAAGACTTGCGGTCAAGCAGCCAGTATGGACTCGCATCTCCTGTGTTGGGGAGTATCTCTGTGACCCTGTCTCTCTCCAGACCCCCCAGTGCACATCCTGGACCCCCGGGAGCACGTGTTCGTGCACGCCATAACCTCTGAGTGTGTCGTGCTGACCTGTGAGGTGGACCGAGAGGACGCCCCTGTGCACTGGTACAAGGATGGGCAGGAGGTGGAGGACAGCGACATCATGGTGCTGGAGAACGAAGGACCCCATCGCCGCCTGGTGCTGCCCGCGACCCAGCCCTCGGACGGGGGCGAGTTTCAGTGCGTCGCTGGAGACGAGCGTGCCTACTTCACCGTGAACATCACAGGTGGGGGTCCAGGCAGGGCCACGGGACAGGGGACGGTGTTCCCTGCCCCTTCCTCCTCCAGCTGATCCCACGCCTGCCCATGGTCTGCACCCCGAGGTTCAGTCATTGCAGGAAATTCATTGTCATAATACGCTGGTCACAATTGCATGAATCACAGGGAAGCCCCGCCTTCTCCATTCTCCTGAAGACCCCTCTAAAGGGAACTTGAGGGAAGACAGTGGTACCATAGGGCAGGTGGGCACTAGAGGGGTCAGGAGATCTGAGGCCTTCAGGTGACCCCAACTCCTCTCCCCAGTCCCACCCTTCCTACTGTCCCTGTCACAACCCAGAGAATGTGGAGTGTCCTACGGCTGAGGCTGCCGTCGTGCCCTTGATGTGACTGGTGACTGTTCTGTCTCCAGCTGTGAGTGTGAGGCCTGTGAGACCCTCTCTGAGGAAGGGCCCGAATGTTCCATTTGTGGCGCACGTTGCAGGAGTAGGAAACAGGCATGGATCAGGCAGGGCCCATTGATTCCAGCCCCTGACATCCGGCCACACTGCCCCTGTCCCCCAGACGTCTCCTCATGGATCGTGTACCCCAGCGGCAAGGTGTATGTGGCGGCCGTGCGCCTGGAGCGCGTGGTGCTGACCTGTGAGCTGTGCCGGCCCTGGGCCGAGGTGCGCTGGACCAAGGATGGCGAGGAGGTGGTGGAGAGTCCAGCGCGGCTCCTGCAGAAGGAGGACACCATCCGCCGCCTGGTGCTGCCTGCCGTCCAGCTCGAGGACTCCGGCGAGTACTTGTGTGAAATCGATGACGAGTCAGCCTCCTTCACCGTCACTGTCACAGGTGTGGACCCACCCCAGCTGCCCGGGGTCACCAGAGGACAGTCCCGAGCCCTTGGAGAAGCTGGCCACATAGCCCCTAGCTAGCACACCGGAGGGGGCGGGGGGCTATGAGTGCATGTACCAGAGCTCCCTGCTTGGAAGAACCGAGGGTCTGTGTTTGAGTGAACAGGTCCCCCCCACACCCTCCCGTCCCATGCCCAAGGCCAGGAAGGAATAGTTGTGGTTCACAGACTAATTTACTGAGCACTGTCTATGTGCTGTGGGTAACTGTATGCAATGCAGACCCCTCCCACTCTCAGAGCTGCCAGTCTAGCTGGGGCGGTACCTGTTAACCAGAGAACGCAAATGGGCAGTCCCTAGCACCCCATGCAGCCCACAGATGTGTTTTTGTTTGGCCTGCAGAGTCTTACCAAAGTCAGGACAGTTCAAATAACAATCCGGAGTTATGCGTCCTCTTGAAAAGGCCGAAGACCCGGCGGCTCTGGTCCCGCTTCCCCCCATGGCGACGAGCAGCTGGCACTGAGTAGCAGCTGCCCCCATAACTCGGGGCCCACTTCCCTGTCCCACCCTCCCGCTTCTCCCCAGACTACTTCCCCTGTGGGCATTTGAGTTTGCGACCATGTTAAATCAATAAACATGCAAATAAATGTACAGCGACACCTTGTGACAAGTGCTGTGAGGGACAGGGCAGAGGGCTCAAGAGAGCAGAGCAAGCGAGTCAGGAAGGGCCTCAGAGAGTCACCGAGTGACTATGTGACCGTACTTCCCTGGGCAGCGCTCTGGATGCTTAGCAGCTCCCAGGCAGACACGCCACTTCCCTCCAGGAGCTCACGATAGCGGGTCTTAGAGCGTGGGGTTGTCAGGTGTCCTGACAGGGAGCAGAGGGAGCCCAAGGCCTGGGTCTATTAACCAGATTGGCGGCAGGAAGTGCCTTTGAAACGGATACTTGGGGCGAGGGCTGAGTTAGCTAAGAGGGAAATGGGGTTGGGGCTGAAGGTGGGAGAGAATATGCAAAGTGAGAAGAGCACGGGGACGACTATGGAAGTGCTAGTCATTCGGTGCTGGGAGCTTTGGAAGTGCAGCCAGCACCAGTCCTGTGTGGGGGTGTGGAGGTGTGGGGGGGTGCAGGGCCTAGGCATCTCTGGGTGGTGCAGAAGAACCCCCCTGGCTACACTGGAGCGACCATCCCGCTGCTGGCACAGTCTTGCCTCCTCCCCTGCTCTGCCCTGGGAACAATGCCTCAACCTAGGCTGAGCAGCTTAGGGCCCCCCACTCCCTGCACCCAAATAGTGCAGCTTGACACATACAAGCCCACAAAGTCAGAGAGGCCTTTGTACATCTGTCCTGTAGTGAGTCCCTTCAAACTCACCTGCCCTAAGCCCTGGCCAGATTCATGGCCACAGCTGCACATAGGCCAGCCCACATTTGGCTTCCCCACAAAACACCAGATTTGAATAAGGAAATTCACACACCACCACCTTGGTGTGGACGGGGGAGAATTAAGTCTGATACCAAGCTGAGGTCCCACGGAGGTGCAGGCACCCCAGCCCCATCACTCCACCCAGTCACTCCACTGCCCTATACCCTCCCTCACCCCTCAGACAGCCACAGTCTGCAATCAGCTGGCCTTGGTGGGGCCCGGAGAACCAGCCTGCATCCTCTAGACTCAGGAGGAGCTCAGTTAGGAAGGTGGTTTGCAGAGGCAGAGGGCTGAGTGTGTGCTGATGGGCACCTCTGCCCATGCTCACACCCCTGCAAAAACAGACCGGGAAGCTAGCAGTTCCCCAGCCCAGCCACAAGGGGGCCGAATGCTAACGAAGCACTAAGTGTCCCGTAGACAAGATTCTGGGAGACCCCCAGGGTGCCGAGGGAATGTGAGCAGGCCCTGGCTCAGTCCACTGCCCTATTCAGTGTTGACATCCTTTTCTCTCTATGGAGGAGCAACCACCTTGGAGCAGTTGGAGAGGAACTCCCAGGATCGGCATTGACTGTCCCCAGAGAACTCTCAGCCAGGTGTTGGCAATCCATGCGCAGATGCAAAAATCATTAGTGTTCCCGCAAGCCTTGGCTCAGAATCCCTCCCACTGGTTGCAGAGTCTGTGTTCCTTTAACAGGTGGTAGTTCTTTCTCCTGCCCTAGAGTAGGTGTAGCCAGCTGTGACCTTAAAGAAGTTGCTTAATCACTCTGTGCCTCAGTTTCCTCAACTGGAAAACCGGGATAAAACAATACCTACCTCCTAGGACTGCGGTGAAGGTTAACTGTGTAAAGTGCTTAGGAACCTCAGAACGCGGTATATAAGTACTTGCTAGTACAGATCCATGATCCCTTATCCACAGTTTCGAAATCCAAAAATCTCCCAAAACCCAAAGGCTTTCAGTAAGTTCGGTATTCAAAGTCATTTTAGTAAAACCTGAGCTTAATTGCTGTGAAGATATTTGTACTCCTTGATTATTCTGCTTAGAGTGAATACATCTGTATGTTACACCGAAGAAACGTTAATGTGATTGATTATGGGGGTGCCCCTGGGGGCTGAAGGGGTGGGGAGATGAGATGTGATAAATGCACCACTTCTGCAGTCTGAAACATGCTGGATTCTGCCACACCTCTGGCCCCAGGGACTTCAGAGAACAAATTGTGGACCTATGATTCCTTGTGATTATCCTCGTTACTCATTATTGTGGGTGACAGGGACGTCACGCTGCCAGATGGCTCCAGGGAGGCTGGCAGTGAGTTTGTCATAGCCTGTGGTTGCCCTCACTCTGCAGAGCCCCCCGTACGCATCATACACCCCCGGGATGAGGTGACCTTGACCGCCGTGAGCTTGGAGTGTGTGGTGCTAATGTGTGAGCTGTCGCGGGAGGACGCCCTGGTGCGCTGGTACAAGGATGGGCTGGAGGTGGAGGAGAGCGAGGCCCTGGTGCTAGAGAGTGACGGGCCCTGCCGCCGCCTGGTGCTGCCTGCTGCCCAGCCCGAGGATGGGGGCGAGTTCGTGTGCGACGCTGGAGACGACTCGGCCTTCTTCACTGTCACCGTCACAGGTGGGCAGTTTCTGGGGCACACGGGAGAGCTAGAAAAGCAGGAGGCAGAGGGACAGACACCCAAACCCCTGACTTCCTATATCTTAGGGCTCCCGTCGGGCCCCATGCAGCCTTTGCCTTCTCCAGCCTCCTTATTCTCAGCCAACAGAGAGCCCTAGATGACTCAAATCAGGTTGGGACAGTGACCAGGGACCTGGTCAAGAGAGTCTAGCAATCAGGAGTCCATTTTTTCAACCAATACTTATGCTATGTGCTCAGCACTGTTCTAGATGCTGATGGATACAGTAATGAACCAGTAAGAGAAAGCCTCCCATCTTCAGGGAGCACTCATTCTAATGAGGGTGGACAGACAACAAATAGCTAAAATAGATGTTTTTTCACGTGGTATACGTGCATTGGAGGCAAAGCAGGGAAAGTGGGTAGAAAGTGGGTGTGGGATAGGAAGGGTGTGCACTGGGGTCAGGCAGGTCTGGGCTACCTCTTTCCGTCCATGTGACCTTGGGTGAGTCACTTTCCTCCAAAGAGGCCTCAGTTCCTCATCTATAAAGTGAAGCCGGCAGCAGCACCCCTCCGGAGAGTGTCGGGAGTAGCGGAGAAAGGAACTGCAGTGTGCTTATCACGGCACCTGGCACACAGTAGGTGCCTACGGATTGTAGCTGGTCCCATTCCCAAGAGCTGCACTGTGAAGGGAGATGGTTGAGAAGCTAGCAGGTGAGGCTGAGCCCACGTGTGCCTCTCTCTGTTCACCCACCAGCCCCGCCAGAGAGGATTGTGCGGCCCGCAGCTCGCTCCCTGGACCTGCAGTTTGGGGCTCCAGGGCGCGTGGAGCTGCGCTGCGAGGTGGCCCCTGCTGGGTCCCAGGTGCGCTGGTACAAGGATGGGCTGGAAGTGGAAGCATCAGACGCCCTGCAGCTGGGCGCCGAGGGGCCCGCTCGCACCCTGACCCTGCCCCACGCCCAGCCCGAGGATGCCGGGGAGTATGTGTGTGAGACCCGTGATGAAGCTGTCACCTTCAACATCAGCCTGGCTGGTGGGTGCCTCCAGCCAGCCCGGGGCGGGGGGAGGCGGGGGAAGCAAGCCCAAGCTGACCCCTCCTCTATCTGTCCAGAGCCCCCAGTCCAGTTCCTTGCCCCAGAGGCAGCCCCCGGCCCGCTCTGTGTGGCCCCCGGGGAGCCGGTGATGCTGAGCTGTGAGCTTTCCCGGGCTGGCGCCCTCGTGTTCTGGAGCCACAATGGGAGGCCGGTGCAGGAGGAGGAGGGCGTGGAGCTCCACGCCGAGGGCCCCCGCCGCGTCCTCTGCATCCGGGCTGCAGAGCCAGCCCACGCCGGCCTGTACACCTGCCAGTCCGGGGAGGCCCCAGGGGCCCCCAGCCTCAGCTTCACTGTCCAAGTGGCTGGTGAGTACAGCCTGGGCAAGAACCCATGTGTTCCCCGCTCCTCTAGCACGCCTGTCCCCTCCTTGTACCTTTCCCCATCTTGCCTCCACTGCTCTCCATATAGCCCTTGAGCCACTTCCTCCCAGTGACCCAAAGCTCTGCCTCCACAGAGCCCCCCGTGCGGGTGGTGACCCCAGAAGCGGCCCAGACAAGAGTTCGCAGCTCCCCAGGCAGGGACCTAGAGCTGGTGGTACACCTCTCCGCGCCTGGGGGCACTGTGCGCTGGTACAAGGACGGGGAGCGACTGGCGAGCCA